TTTCCTTTCCTTTCCTTTCCTTGCCCCCCCGCCCCCCCGGAAATGTAACTGAAGGGGTCACGGCAGTTGTGTGGGATTTTTCCCTCTGGCCCCTTCAGAGACCCCCGATACTCTGCTGGGAGGACATTTTCCCATCTGCTCCACAGACGGACCGATTCCAAAGCATGATCCCATTCCCGTTCCCAGCTCCCCTTTTCGCACAAACTGATTTCTGGAATTCGAGTCCAGAAATACTAAATGAGATGTTCTCCTAGGTAAGTTTGTACAAAAGGGCAGCCTAAATGGCCTTGGAGCTCCTAGGAGTCATGACACACTCCTTGTATTTGCTGTTCTGTCCACCCTTCTGATTCCTTCCTCCTCTTTGCGGGTCCCAAAACGCCACTCCTCTTCCCCCTTGTTTTCTGTATTTTGGAAAGCTTTTTCACACTAACCCTGAGAGCGAACTTGTCCTCAACATTAACCAACCTATATGATCTTCCTGCCTAGGTTGTGCCATTGTATCTTCATTCCTGCAGCTTTATAAATACTTTGCTACAGAGCTGGCTCTGTTTATCAGCCCTCCGGCTGAATTTTGCATCCCCCCACCCATTCACCCTCTCAGAAGATATTCTTGCATAACACAGTGTCTCTTCTTCCTTCCAAAACCCGGGTGGCTTGCTCCAGAATTGGTCCCGGGTCCTGTTTTTCAACATGATTCTCTTCTTTTCCCAGGTTTAGTCCCCAGGCTGTCTCAAGACCCCTGATCTGGCTTGTCTTCGTCCTCGGATCCTCCCATGGCCATGTCATCCCCTCCGGCCCCGCCAGCTAAAAAGCGGAAGATGAACTTCTCGGAACGGGAAGTGGAGATCATCGTGGAGGAGCTCGAGCAGAGCAAGCACCTGCTGATCAACCATTTCAACGCCGGCGTGCCGCTGACTGTCAAGGCCGCCGCTTGGCACAACATCTTGCGACGGGTGAACGCTGTGGCGACGTGCCGCCGGGAGCTGCCCGAAGTGAAGAAAAAGTGGTCAGACCTCAAGACGGAGGTACGGCGCAAGGTGGCACAAGTAAGAGCCACGGTAGAGGGTGGTGGCGAAGGCCAGGATGGAGGTGGAGAGGGCCAGGAGGCTGAAGAAGACCCCACGGGGGCTTCCGCTGCCCCGGTGATACTCACCCCCATGCAGCAACGCATCTGTAACCTGCTGGGAGAAGCCACCATCATCAGCTTGCCCGCTGGAGGCTGTCCTGGGGCCCATACGTCGGAAATACCCATTACAGCTGCAGCCACCACAGTCACCCTTACGCAGAGTAAGTAGTTCTTCCTTCCCTCTGGCGCAGCCCACATCCGTCCGAACCGTTCAGACGGACGGAATTCGTTTTCCCATCTTTGAACAAGATGCGCGCCCAGCACCTTGTCTAGAATGTTGAGAAGCAAAGTTTGCCCGGAAACCAGCGCAATGGGCTTGGCAGCAGCAAGTAACCTGTACCTTTAAGGTCATGCCTGACTGCCTCGGATCGATTCCACCAGCCTGCTGCTCGCAGTCCATTCAGAGCTCTGGCAAGCTCATTTTGTCCTTGCCTGCCATAGAGGAGGAAAGAAATGAAGACAAGCCACAAAAAAAAAAAGGAGGGGGGTGGATATCAAAAAAAAACCAAGGAAATGCGTTTTCCGTCTCCTCCTGGCTCACCTCCGCTCGCTGCTTCCATAAATCTTGCCCATGAAGTAGCTGTGGATTGTTGTTTTCTTTCTGATGGCCTCCTGGGGAATTAAATTATTTCTCATCCCTGGTGGCCCCCGAGACATCTGAAGAAAGCATTCTGTACCTGCTGTCTTCTTGACTCACCCCCTCCCTTGCGAAAGATTTTTTTCCCCTCTTCTCCTTCTGCCCAAAAACCAAGGCACATTTTGAGACTCCTGTCCTTGAAAAATCTTGCCCTGGTAAACAAAGTAGCTCTAATTTCTCAGGAAACCTCCATCTGTGGGCTTTCTCTATTAATGTCATTAATGTGTCAAGTTCTTATCAGTCAAGCGATAGGCCTCACGTTGGTTAATCAGTAAATAAGTTCGTGTTGCTAAGCAAGCATCTCTCCACCGCGCTTCCGTCAGCCCCTTTTCGCCACCCTCTATTGCCAATTTATCAGATGTTAGACTGTACGCTCATCACGTATTTATGGAGCATTGACAGTGCTAGGTACACAATGTCATTCTTTTCAAAGTCTTAATGAAAAAATAGGAGGCTCCTGCATCCTTGCATCATGAGACGTATGAATCACCGGCGTAGCTCTCCTTGATCAAACACCACCACCCAAGCCATTCGTTTGCTCAAGGGTTTGCTTCCATGCCAGCTCCTCCTTTTCTCGACAACTCAAGGCTGCCCTCCTCCATTTTTACCCAGGTTTTTGCTCCTTCCCAGCCATAGAAAAGAAACACTATATTCGTGTACATTTCCGAAGCTTTTGCATTCTACAGCCAGAGTGGGCAGGCCTGAGTTTCTTATGGGCATCATGAGCCAGATACAAACTGGTGACTCAGGAGGAACAGACAGAGAACCGTGGGGCGGGAACACCCACTCGGTCCTGGAATGTTTTGTTAGGATCAGAACTGGAGCCGGTGCATCATAGGCTGGTCTGTCCCTTTGCTCTGCTCCCCTACTCTCTCTCCTGTATCCATTTTGGCAGTTTAATTGGGGGGTGGGGAGCCTTTTCCTCAGTATTGTTAAGCTGCCAGGAATGAGAAACCTTGGCAGATTCACTGCCAGTTGCTTGGTGCTGGGTTACCACTGGCAACTAACTGATCAGGTTGGATTCTGAAGCAGCCGGGAAACATATTTTTCCTCCTCCCACATAATTTGCTGTATGGAGTACCTCAAGCTGCCTCCTCAGTCCTCTTCCTTTCTTTCCTTCACACCAGCTGTGAACACGTGCAGAAGGCACCAGAGAGGGGGAAGTAGCAGCTGACTTAGCCCCAGTTGGCCGGGTTCACACAATACATGTCATCCACCATGGATTACCAGCAATCAAATAGCTGACAGTTCAGCTTACCTCCCACTTATTCTAACATGTCATAGAAACTTATAAATATACAGCAAGGCTTATAAATAACATTGAAACCAAACAGACTGTTTGTAGCAGGCTGATGAAAGACCACCTCACTTTTTATGATCGCGCCCTGCGCCTGTCTGATGAATACATCTTTTGCTGTTTCAGTCTAATTTGTCACCTAGGGTAAAACGACTTTAAAATAACAAAGATTATTACAGGGTGGGAAATTATGTTGCTCCATGTGTTCTGTGAGCCCAGCTACTGTCTTTGCAAACCTTTATTTATGAAGGTTGTAAACTTGATTTTTAGAATGCTTTAATACCCAGATTTAATGTTTATTAATTTTGTATGCCACCCATCTCCCCCAGATTCTGTAAACCATCTTGGGAACCCTTGGTTAAAGGGCAGTGTTTGGACATTTTGGTTCTCAGAAAGCTTTCCTCCTTTTCTTAGTTCCAGCAGAGATGACGTACCACAGTTTGGACGAGGGGGTCGTGGAGTACTGTACAACCGAAGCCCCCACCACAGTCACCACCGAAGCCCCCTTAGAGGTGATAGCCCAGCAGGCTGAAGTTTCAGCAAAACCCCAAGAACTGAAAAACCGGATTGCTCTGAACTCGGCCAAGCTGCTGCAGGAGCAGCGGGTAACCAACCTGCACGTGAAAGAAATCGCCCAGCACCTCGAGCAGCAGAACGACCTGTTGCAGAAGATCCGCCGCTCCCAGGAAGTGCAGGCCTGCGCGCAGGAACGCCAGGCCCAAGCCATGGAAGGAACGCAGGCCGCTCTGAACACTCTCATCCAGATCCTGCACCCCGTGATTAAGGACTTCCGACGGTTTTTGCAGAGCAACACCCCTGCGCCTTCAGGGACAGCAGACCCAAGCCAAGCGACTCAGAACGGACAGGACGGCATCATGCAATGAAATGTGGAAAGAGAGACGTCTTCTAAACACAGGCTTGGCCCAGGAAGGGGCGACGGGTGCCCTGTTTCTTGCCAGCCAACTGGTTCAATGCCTTTGTTTAGAAGCCGAAAGCACACTTTGGATTACTGCCAGCCTCCCTCACATCCTTCTTTTTTAATTGTTTAACTCTGCGCGGTTTCTTGGACGGACTTTGCTAGGTGTACACCATAACTTAATGTTGGATTTTAAAGAAAAAGATTGACGAATAGATTTTTATATAAACAGAAAGCACCCTTTACTCTCTTTTTTTTTTTTAATCAGTCAAAGAGTTGCTATTTTCAGGATTCAGGTTAGGAGAGAGAGTGGTGATGCTCTGGCTAGGGAAATATTGGAACTGGAGTCTCAGCCCAGGGAAAGGAGGCCAGGTTGAGAAAGGCTGGGCTAGAGATGACAAAGAAACTATTAACTTTTGCAGATACAGAGATTCTTGAATTTTGTGACTTGAGATGTGTCGATCCCAGAATGAGGTTTCTAAGCATTCACACACCACACTAATGCTGTAACGCCAATACTAAGATGGGAGAGGTGGAGAGCAGACTGCTTTAGTCCTCTCTTTGTTTCTAAGCCAGGGATGCAAAAAAGGAATCTCCCATTTTAGGGGCACCAGAGTGAGCAAGGGCCCCTTTTTTTCAATTGTCGGAGTTTAAGGATGCAAAACAGATGCCTTAAACATTGCAGGTGCTTTGTTAGTAATGCTGTGCCATTACTATTCCCCAGGTGCTCTCCCAGGACACATCCTGGTCAGCTGCAGAGGCCTGGTACAGCCTTCGAGGTAGCAGTCGCACCTGGCGAGCAATGAGATGTTGAACCCTAGTTTATTGAATGAGGTGCAATGGCTGAAGTTCACACAACACACTAAGCCACAAGACAAGGAAAGCATATTCTGGCTTAATGCAACATAGCTACTCAGCCGCACACTTGTACTTGATGGATGTTCATTGCACAATCTAGATCGGGGTACCTCCTGTTGCGCTCTTATCACCCAACCCCATTCCACAAGGAGCAGAGCAAAAAGAATTGAGTTTATAGATTGCGGTTAATGTTTTACGTACAGAGGGTTCTTCTCCCCAGTGTCTGAAGTTTTAAAAAATGGAATGAGCGATAGGAAAGACTCTGTTCCAATAACTTAGATTTGAAGGACAAACAGTCCAGTCCCAATGTGAAAGTTTCCTGGTGTTTCTGCTACCTGCAGGGGGCGGAATACTCCCACATTTCCTTGTTTAAAAACCAGGATAATGTAGATGTAAAGCCCTGGGGCTCCCCCCTAAAATAAATCTAAAAGGCGTTAATTGAGATCTTCCTTCAACAATCAGCAACACACTGTGATAAATGAATACTGCAGTGTCAGAATGATGGATAATCACTTGAATCAAGTGGAGGCTGTGCTCATACTTCTGGTTCTTTTATTCTCACGTGGGCCAAACGAGCAAAAGAAGCCTAATTAAAAAAAAATAAATCATTTTTGGGTTGGTAAACTCTCTCCTAAAATAATTAGATGAAACCCTGGCACAAGGAGCTGGTTTTGTGCCTTGCTTGAGATTTATGATGTCCCAAACAGGGCTTTCTCTCCTACCTAGCTATATTATGATTACCATGTTCTGCAAGAATATAAAAGAGATACCCATCTACAGTGTCAGAATTTGGCCATTCACAGAGCCTGGCTTTCTTTTCCAGCTTCGTGGCACGGTGTACTATCCCCTAACCTTGTAACAGCGTATGCTTAGTTTATAAGTGGTGCCATCCGAGGGTTGGGGAAAGCAAGCTTCAACCCCACTTCACTTGATAGCCTGTGCCAGGTAGCTCTCCACCGCTTACCGCTGTGCCTAACCTCCTTCGTAGTGCGGAGCGCCTCAGGGAAAAAGTCTAAAAAGTCAATAAGTAAACTGTGCCGCTAGCAGAAGACTACCCCCAGCTCAGAGCTTCCAACTAGCAAGGACATGACTTGTAGTGGGACATGTCTCAACCCAATCGAGAGAACGACAATCCCAATTGTGAAACTGCGGAAGGACTGAGAAAACCTCCTCGATTCAAATGCTCGGTGCTCACACTGCTGCTTTTTGTTCCTTTAGCAGACGCGTGGCAGAACATGCCATTGACCCCAAAGCTTGTTGACACGCACACAGAATAAACATGCGTGGCCGCCATTCTGGTTCGCGAAAATGCCCCATGGGGCTGACATTGGCTAACCACGGCTTGATAGGCAGCACTTGATCGTTCTCAGCCATATCTCTGGAGTCTTTCCAGAAGGAACCTTTGCTCAAAAGAGGTATGAAACATTTCTCTACTAAAGCTTATAGTGTGCATTTTTTGCAACCCTCACACTTCCTCTAAGGAGTTCAGGTAGCCATGTCCCCTGCATCCGCCTGTTTTATTCTCACAACTGCTCAGGCTGAGTTCACACACTGAATGCTAACCACAATATAATTTGTGTGGTGTGTGGATCCAGCCTTTATGATTTGCAAACCACAGCTTTGGGCCTAGCGTTATGTGTCAGGATGCATGAGGATGTTAACCTGTTCTCCCCATTCTTAGCTAGACACATTAACCAATACTGCTAGGCAACCAGAACTGAACAAACCAGTTTGGACTTCTGTGAACCAGCTGAAAGTGTGATCATTGCCCCTCCTGCTTCTGTGGTATTTACATTAAGACAACATAAGGTGGTTGTCTTAATAAACAATGGTTTTTTTAAAACAAAAGAAATTCTGGTTTTTCTACATAACTGGGAAGAATTCTCCAAGAGAATTGGCTTCTTCTTACTCATTGTTCAAAACATTCCCTCTTGGGATTCACCATTCAGTCCATCTGAGTTCCCCACAGGCTTGAAAACAACTTACTTTCACCCACTCATGACTTTAAGATCCAAACAGGGGAGCAGAGAAAAAACCCTAACCAGCATGGCAGGGCAAGTTACTCAGAAGCAAGAGAACTGCCCAGAATAACAAATTGGATTCATGCCTAGCATCGGTCTTGGTTTGTTTAACAGTGGTTGATTAAATAAATCAAAATTTGCTAGGTTTGAATAATACACTGTGCCCTCAACTCATAATTCTCATCTCATAATAGGCATCCTACGTCATTGGAGCTAAGTACCTTTTTGAAACCTAACCCAAACAATAGATTGCATAACAAAATATAAACATGTACTATAAATGTTTTTCCTTAGAAAAATGTCCCCTTTTTCTATCATGCGTGCCTTACTTTACCTTTGTGGAGGATAGTAAGGCCCATGTTCCCCCCCCCCCCCCACGCTGT